TGTCACTTTACTCTTCATCTTGGTCTCCTTCAACCCATGCAAGTCAGAGTAATCTTCAAAACACAACTTTGTAATGAAAGTTTCCCTTGTGCTAAAATTTTTAAAATGACTTTTTATGACCTATAGAACTGATGATTAGCATAGATTACAATTGCTTCATGAACTTTTTATTTTTCCATCTTTACGGAGGTACAATTGTCAAATAAAAATTGGGTATGCTTAAGGTGTTTACCTTGATTTTATGATATACATATACTATGTGAAACAATCATTGCAATCACACCAATCAACATATCCATCACCTCATGCGATTACCATATTTCTGTGTGTAGCAAGAACACTTAACATCTACTTTCCTAGAAAACTTAAAAGTATACAATAGCATATTGTATTGTAAACTATATTCACATTGTTGTACATTAAGCAGTTACTCATCTTGCATAACTTACTCATCTTGCATAAATGAACTTACTCATTTTGCACAACTAAAACTTTGGACCCCCTGACTAACATCTTCCTATTTTCCCTTCTCTGTAGCCCCTTAGCAACCCCTATTTCTATTCACTACTATAAGCTTGACTATTTAGATACCACATGTAAATGAGATAATGCAATATTTGTCTTTCTATGTCTGGATTGTTTCACAAAGCGTAAATTCCTCCAGGTTCATCCATGTTGTTGCAAATGTCCAGATTTTCTTCTTTTTTTAAAGTCTGAATAATATTTAGCAGTGTATTATACATATAATTATATATATATACATATACATATCATACTTTTCAAATTTATCTGTTGATATGGGTTGGCTGTGGCCCCCCCCAAATCTCATCTTGAATTGTACCTCCCATAATCCTCATGTATCATGGGAGGAACCTGGTGGGAGAAAACTAAGACATGGGGGCGAGTTTTTCGCATGCTGTTCTTGTGATATTGAATAAGTCTCACGAGATCTGTTTCATAAAGGGCAGTTACCCTGCACATGCTGCCTTGCCTGCTGTGATGTAAGACATGCCTTTGCTCCTCCTTTGCCTCTGCCATGATTGTGAGGCCTCCCCAGCCACGCAGAACTGTGAGTCCAATAAACCTCTTTTTCTTTATATATTTCCCAGTCTTGAATATTTCTTCAAAGCAGTATGAAGGTGGACAAATACATCTGTCAGTGCACATTTAGGTTATTTCCACAACTTGGCTAATGTGAATAATGCTGCAGTGAACATGGTGTGCAGATCTCTCTATGCAATACTGATTTCCTTTGGATAGATATCTAGCAGTAAAACTGCTAAATCGTAATTTATTGAGGAATTTCTATACTGTTTTCCCTAACAGCTGTGCCAACTTACATTCCCAGGTCACGTGCCCATTTTAAAATTGGATTATTTGAGATTTTTGGCTACTAAGCTATATGCATTCCTTATAAATTTTAGATATTAACTCATACATACATACATATATATGCATTCTTTATAAATGTTAGATATTAAGTCATACATACATACATATATATATTTATAATAATATAAATATTTTGTCCCACTTTTTAAGCTTCTTTTCACTTTGATGATCATCTCCTTGGCTGTGCAGAAGCTTTTTAGTTTGATGTAACCTCATTTGTCTCTGTAGGTAGCACTGTCAAATGCTTTTTCTGTGTCTACTGATATGATCTTGTAGTTTTTTCTTTCAACCTATTACTGTGTTGTATTGCATTGATTTTCATGTGTTGAAAGATCTTTGCATTCCAGGGACAAATCCCACTTAGTCATGGTGTATCATCATTTTAATATGCTGCTGAATTTAGTTAACTAGCATTTATTGAGGATTTTTGTATCTATGTTCATTAGAAATATTCACCTGCAGTTTGCTTGCCTTATGGCATCTTCGTCTGGCTTAGGGAAATACTAGCCTCATAAAATAAGTTTTAAAGTGTTTCTTCTTCTATTTTTCAGAATAATTTGAGAAGGACTGGTATTAATTCTTCTATAAATGTTTGGTATGATTTACCCATGAAGTCATATAGTCCTGAACATTTCTTTGTTGGAATGTTTTTGACTACTGATTCAATGTCCTTATTTGTTACTGGTGTGTTTGGACTTTGAATTTCTTCTTGACTCAGGTTTTGTAGATTGTATGTTCCTAGGAATTTATTCATTTTTCTAGGTTATCAAATTTGTTGGCATATAATTGTTCATAATAGTCTCATGCCATTTATTTTTTATTTCTGAGGCATCCATTGTAATTTCTTCTCTTTTATTTCTGATTTTATTTATTTGAGCCTTTTCCTTTTTTCTTAGTCTAGCTAAAGGTTTATTGATTTTATTTTTTTATTTATCTTTTCTAAAAACAAAATCTTAATTTATTTTTTTTTCATTATTTTTCTCAACTCCATTTAATGTATTTCTACTATAATCTTAATTATTTTCCTTGTTTTAGGGTTATTTTTATTTTGCCACTTTGTTAAAGGGCAAAGCTAGGTTGTTTATTTGAAGTCTTTCTTCTTTCATAACACAGGCTTTTACTGCTATAAACTTATTTCCTAGCACTGCTTTTGTTGCATCCTGTAAGTTTTGTTATGCCATGTATTTTTGGTCTCAAAATAGCTTTTAAAATTCCCTTTGATTTCCTATTTGACCCCATGATTGCTCAAGAGTGTGTTGTTCAGTGTATTAGTCCATTCTTTCATTGCTGTAAAAACATATCTGAGACTGGGCGATTTATAACAAAAAGAGGTTTAATTGGCTCATGGTTCTGCAGACTATAAAAGCATGGTGCCGACATCTGTTTGGCTTCCAAGGAGGTACCAGGGAGCTTTTACTCATGGTACAAGATGAAATCGGATCAGGTACTTCAAATGGCAAAAACAGGAGCAAGGAGGAGCAGGTACTACATACTTAAAATAACCAGATTTCATGAGAACTCACTATCATGAGAACAGTACCAAACCATGAGTCTCCATGACCCAGGCATCTCTCACCAGGCTTCACTTCCAGCATGGAGGGTTACAATTGACATGGGATTTGGCCTGCAGTTATATTCAAACTATATTTTTTAGTTTCTACATATTTATACATTTTTCTGTTTTCCTGATGTTATTGAATTCTATTTCTATTCTATGGAGTTTGAAAAAGATACCTGGAATAATTTCAGTCATCTTAAAGTTGCTAAGACTTTTTTTGTGACCTAATATGATTTATCTCACAATGCATCCCATGAGCACTTAAGAATGTGAATTTTTGGCCGGGTGTGGTGGCTCAAGCCTGTAATCCCAGCACGTAGGGAGGCCGAGACGGGTGGATCACGAGGTCAAGAGATCGAGACCATCCTGGTCAACACGGTGAAACCCCGTCTCTACTAAAAATACAAAACATTAGCTGGGCATGGTGGTACATGCCTGTAATCCCAACTACTCAGGAGGCTGAGGCAGGAGAATTGCCTGAACCCAGGAGGCGGAGGTTGCGGTGAGCCGAGATCGTGCCATTGCACTCCAGCCTGGGTAACGAGCGAAACTCCGTCTCAAAAAAAAAAAAAAAAAAAAAAAGTGAATTTTTCCGCTGTTGGGTGCAAAGTTGTGTATGTGTCTGTCAGGTCCATTTAGTCTATAGTGTTTAAGTCAGTGGTTTCTTTATGGATTTTCTGCCTAGATATTCTATTCATTATTCTAAGTGGAATATTAAAGTCCCCTAAATTATTTTATGGCTGTCAATTTCTTGCTTCACATCTGTCAATATTTGCTTTATAATTTAGGTGCTCTGATATAGTCATACTAATTGTCATATCATCCTGTTGAATTTACTCTTTTATTACGTAATGATCTTTTTTTTGTCTCAAGAGATAGTTTTTGACTTAAAATCTATTTTGTTTCATATAAATTGAGCAACCTCTGCTTTGCTTTGGTTACCATTTGCATGGACTATCCTTTTCTGTCCCTTTTCTTTCATCTTACATGTGTCTTTAAATTGAGAATGAGTTCTTAATGAACAGATACAATTGTTTTATTCATGTTTGCCTATCCAGACTGTAATACTATTAAAATGTATAACTGATGAACATATTTTTATTAAATGAATAAATGACCAGCATTACTAAAAGTTCCTGTGTGTGTGTGTGTGTGTGTGTGTAAACAGCTTAGCTATATAGATAAATAGACAGATGTAGATATAGATATAGATATACAGGATATAATAGTCCAATTTTTGTTGAGTCATCATCCTTTCTGTATTCCCAAGATTTCTGTTTTCTCTGCATTTGTACCTGACTCTGGACTCTAATTCTCTTTCACCCAAGTAATCCCTCTGTATTCCAATATGTTTTTCCTTATTAGGTTGAATCTTTGTTGCCCTTTTTTCCCCATTCTATTTGCATTGGCATTTATTTTACATTCATGACATTTTATTTATCCAAACCTCTTAGGAAAGGTCTTAACACCTAGTGAGAATAGATCTCAGTATAGATATTGCAGCTATATGATCAGACCATAAACAATTAGTCCCCCAATTCTGTAAGGCAACACTATTTACACAACACTGGAACCCAAACTAAAAACAAAGTATCTTCAGAATACAAAAAGGAAACTAAGTTTACCAAGTATCACACACACAGACACACACAGACACACAGACACATACATACACACCCAAGTTAATACAAATTGCAAGAATGAAGAAGTTAACGGGTCCTAAGGTTAATACCTGGGTGATGAAATAATCTGTATGACAAAACCCCATGACACAAGTTTACCTATGTAACAACCCTGCATTTGTACCCCTGAACTTAAAAGTTAAAAAAAGGGGAAAAAAATTTAAGAATTACTTTGAGTTGGTATCTATTTCAGCAAAACAATGTGAATGTGAGCTATGGGGTAGACAGGAAAAATAACTTCATTAAACAGAATTGAAGAAAATCTGTGTTGGAATATAAACTGTTAAATGAAAGTCTACTTTACTTCTTCAGTTTACTTTGCAAGTCTTGCTTCCAGATTCCTGGAATTAAACTATTGGAATACTTACCTTCGAGGATGATTGGCATCAAACAATGTGTTATCATCATCCTCATCATCTTGTTCTAAAGGAGTCAATTCCATGTTTTCTATGTTAGTGTCCAAAACTCCGTATCGCCTAGTCTTTCGGTTTCTTCTTCTCATCCTATTAAATACAATAAATTAATGAATAAAAATTATTTAATATGGCATAGATGATCCTTAGTTTATATTTATTTGTAAGTTAAAATAAATTCTCATTCTGTTTCTGACATAGAAAGCACTCAATATCAGAATGATTACATTTCAGATACGCAAGAAATTTACCATCTAGGATTAAACTTCATGAAACAAAACCTACTCCTATATGTTTATGTGCCATCACCTGTTTCTTCTGTTTGACATACTCTCTTCTCCCTGTGTCAACTGATGGTCTTGACAAATAACTTTTAAGCCTTAGTTCAGGTACCATAATTCAAGCCTCAATTTTTAAAGGCTTAGGTCAGGTACTTCTTTACTGAAACCTCCTGTTCCAGCCTTTTCCCCGTGTCCTCCATGCTTTCCTAACCCTGTGTAGATGCCCCTCTAAGAAACTGTATGCATATCCATGTTCACAGACTAGACTGACAGCTCACAACTCTAGCCATACACCGGAACTACCTGGGGGTGTTTTTTTAGAGCCCCATGTTTAGGCCATAACTGAATCAAAAAGCAGAGCAAAAAGAATTACATATCAATATTTTGTTGAGGTTCTAAATGTGATTCCAGTGTGATATAAGACCACTATCTCAGATCAGTGGCCCTTGCAGTGTGGCTCTCTGGATCAGCAGAATAACAGTCACCTAGGAACTTATAAGAAACGCAAATCTTCACGGCTAGCCCAGACTTAGTGAATAACAAACTTTGAAGATGCAGCCCAGAAACTTGTGTTTTAACAAACATTTCTTATGCTTTTGATGCATACTCAAGTTTGAGAACCACTGCCTTAGAAGTGAAAAGATTCAAGGGTGCTTAACATTCATTATTATTACCTATGTTTTCGAAATCTCATGATTTAGAGCCCTACTTCCAGTTTGTGTCTCAAATAACTGATTCTTTTCCTTCAAATCATTTACCTTAATTTGCATTCCTACATGCCGATGTATATATCTATGTGGTGTTTATTCACCTGTCTCTCCCACTAAGTGCTATATGAGCAGCAACCAAAACTGCTTTATTCACCACTATATAACCACTTTCTAGTACAGTGATGTATCAATTAAGATGTTCCTTCAATTAATTATTGAGGGTCTGAGTGACTTCTACTGTGGCAATCCAAAATCATGACCCTGCAAGGAATGCCTAAATCATCTCCAATGCAGTAACTTCAACTCCACACACAGGAAAATGTGTTTCACAAGTGTCCATTGGAGTTTAAAAACAAAACAGAAAATATTTCAGCAAGTTATCACAAATGAAATCAGTTTACATAAATTCTGATTTACTTTGCATGACATAGTAAGTGGGATAAGAAATACTCAAGCTATAATATCAACTGTAAAGAGCAACGTGAGCCTCTTCAAACATGACAGTGAAGCCCCTGGGGGGAAAGTACCTTGAACAAATACTTGAGTCTTACTAAGCATCAGGTATGGTATTAGCTTCTGCGTATAAACTGCCTGGTCTCAGTGTTAAAATTTATAAAATGTTACTAAGTGTGAATGAACACAAACCAAGAAAATTTCTATCAGTCATTACCTATAGAGCTATATGTATACACATACAAAGTGATGGAACAGGAAATAGAATTAAGCATAGTATTTAAAGTTACAAATGTACCCAATAGAAGAGTCAATAAATATCAGTACTAGCAAAAATGAAGCAGCATGAAGTAAAAAGTACTCGTTCTTTTATAGTGAGAAATTAATGTTTAGGTTGTTACATTAAGTATATGTGTGTATGTGTGAACACACATTCACACACACCATGTAGACCAGAGGTCTAAACTTCCTCTGTAAAAAATTATATAGTAGGTCGGGTGCAGTGGCTCAAGCCTGTAATCCCAGCACTTTGGGAGGCCGAGGCGGGTGGATCACGAGGTCAAGAGATCGAGACCATCCTGGTCAACATGGTAAAACCCTGTCTCTACTAAAAATACAAAAAATTAGCTGGGCATGGTAGGGCGTGCCTGTAATCCCAGCTACTCAGGTGGCTGAGGCAGGAGAATTGCCTGAACCCAGGAGGTAGAGGTTGCGGTGAGCCGAGATCATGCCATTGCACTCCAGCCTGGGTAACAAGAGTGAAACTCTGTCTCAAAAAAAAAAAAAAAAAAATTATATAGTATCTGACAATCTGTAGGACACATTCTGCTATGTATTCATTTAAATTTTCATTTTGTTTACCATCCTTAAAAATCTATAGATAGATGATAGATAGATAGATTGATAGATAGATATCTAGATAGATAGACATTCTTAGCTCTTAGGTCTTACAAAAACATTAGCAGAAGGAATTTGGCCTGTGGGCTATACTTTGCCAACCTCTGATTTAGACTCATAAAAGTAATTAGCAAACAAAGAAAAAAAATAATAAAATCATTGTCTATGGAAAGTAGAACTAGAAAAATAGGCCGGGTATGGTGGCTCATGCCTGTAATCCCAGCATTTTGGAAGGCTGAGGTGGGCAGATTACCTGAGGTCAAGAGTTCATGACCAGTCTGGCCAACATGGTGAAATCCTGTGTCTAGTAAAAATACAAAAATCCGCCAGGCATGGTGGTGTGCACCATTAATCCCAGCTACTTGGGAGGCTGAGGTAAGAGAATCGCTTGAACTCGGGAGGCACAGGCTGCAGTGAGCTGAGATGGTGCCACTGCACTCCAGCCTGGGTGACAGAGTGAAGACTCTGTCTCAAAAAAAAAGAAGAAATAGAAAAATATAGGGAAGTTAGTTCACTATTGTGCTTTTGAACCATATGATTTAATGATACCTTGCACGCAATCATTTGATTTTAAAAATGATTACATAAGAGTGAAACTAGTTGGCAACATAAGTTAAGGATATTGAGAGTTATAATTTCTCTTTCCTTTTGTCAGTCTTTTGCTAAGTCTTCAAACCCATATGGGTTCCAAACATTCTGACAATTTTAGTCAATGAAAAAGAAGTTAATGCCATGTGAAATTATTTTTGGAAATAAACCAGATCCTCCCAGGTCATATATCAAAGAGTCAATATATTAACCTGTCATTGTTAGTCACAGGACATGTTGGCAAGTCTTAAAACAAAAAATGATGAACAAAGAGCTTAAGGACTTCAACATTTAGCTCATCTGATGTTCTTCTCTACATTCAAAGTTTTTACCATACCTTCAGTGATTTCCAATCTTTCAATGAGTGGTCAAACTAGTTTGCCTAATAATACTATTTTCCCTATCCATGTATAGCCTAAACATTTGACTGCAGTGGTTTGGACCTTTTATTTTATTCTAGCTTATACTGTTCTTTAATTTAATTTTGTATGTAAATACTGTCTTCTAAAAATGAATCCAAACTATTTAGAAACAAGTTTGGATTGTTGTTTAGAATCTATTCCATATACAAAAACAGAATATTGTTAGGCATCAAGTAAATGGGTGATGCAGTTCAAATTTAAACAAATTTGCTGTTTTAGTATATGTACTGACTCATCTAAAAATGAGTCAAGAATATTGTATATTATTAAATAAAATTTAAACTTGAAATGTAATTTCTCTGAAAATGTCTTTCCTCAGTCCAAAGATATAGGCAGTCATAACTATGAGGTCATATAGCTACATGGCCACATAAAAATATCAAATATAATATAATACATACCATATTACTATATTATAGGGGTGATTTAACTCAAGGAAGGAAAAAACAATAATAAAGCTTTAGAATAATTTGGGTGATTCAACAAACACTACTGAACATACTAACAAACACTAAGTGTAAAATAAAATACATATTAAAATACACCAAAATTTTAAGTAAAAATTTGACTTTTTTAAGTGACTGTCTTTTAATATGCATTGTATATGATTTTTTAACAAAAGAAAAAGAGCTTTAACACTTATGCAATTTTAATAACAGTTCTTTTCTTACAAATTAATGTCTTTATTAAGCTTGTGATACCCAAACTCATCTATATGTGTGCTGACAATTACAAATATATACACACACATGTAGATACAGATATAGATATGCACACTTTTCTACTAGACATAGTAAATGCATTTGGAAATACAGAAACAAATTTTGCCAGCTTCTAATGAAAACAAAAATAGGGACTTTATCTACAAGTGTTTACAGAGGAAAGTATAAAAGCCTGAGCAGGCAAAAGAAAATATCTATATGATTATTCACATAAAATTACATTCACTCATCATATGGTATGCTCAGATAAATTATCCTGGTCAGACACTTTCTAGGTATTCAAGTTAATATTCAAATAGCTGCCTTAATATAGATGCTGATTCCTTAATGTTCCAACATACCCAGGTTGGTAAAAACTATTTCTCTTCCAATAACATATATATAAGTTAGAGTATCAAAATAAAACTAAACCACAAAAGTAAGTTTTATAAAATTTTATGTAAAAATATATGATGACACATAAAGAAAACAGAATAAAATTCCATTTCATTTCACTGCTCTATGAAATGGTGAACACCAATCAATATAAGTTGCTGTAACTTGATATATCCATCTAGTTTGATCTAAGTTTGTTGTAACTTGTTATATCTACCTGATTTTATTTTTTCCCTTCTGTTTTTTTTTAAACTGAGCATCTGTAGGGTAATATAATTCTTATTTTCTTTTTTAGCACACTTTAAAACTAGACTGAGGAATATGTTCTTTACTATACAGACACATACACTACCCTGCATGGTTAGACATAACAATGAAACACAGTAAATAATAATCTATAACTAAAACAAAATTTTTGTCTTGACTAGTTTTAGAAAAAAGTGAACTAGTGACCAAAAATAAATGTGAAACTTCTTTTTTTACCATTGAAATATAAATGAATAAATATTAGTGAATCACAATTGTAGTTGTCTATACTATTCATCAGGAAATTCAACCCAATTGAATATATGACACATAGTAAAAATTCTTTTGATGAATTTGACATCAATCTCATCTTTATTCCCCATTTCCACCACCCAA